GTCGATGCAATGAAAAAATGACTCCATTATTAGGCGTGGAATACGATAGGTGGAATCATTGCGCTTGGGATGGCAACGCTAGAAGCTGCTTTACTCGCCAAGCCTGTAGTCGTGGTGTATCAAGTATTGTTTTTAACTGCGCCAGTGCTCAAACATCTGTTAACCATTAAGCATATGGCTTTGCCGAATATTATTGCTGAGCGTAGAATTTGTGCCATAATTGTTACAGCAAGAAGCCAACCCCCTGGACATTAGTCAGGCTATTTTACATGCTGCGCTACACTCCCAAATTACCGGTGTCGGAGAATTTTCTGCCGCGCCATGTAGGATAAGCTATTGGTTCTAATCGTTGAATCAAGGCTACCCGAAACCGCGCCCACGACCATTTGCCTTAGATTTCAGTGCTTCCTTGGATTTGACCAGTGCCGGGCCTTGTAACAGTGTCGCTGCGAGCCGAATCCACATTGCATCATGTATTGGGGTCGTACATGCAACGGGCTCGAAATAGATTTCGAGTGTAGCGATGAATCTCCTGACGTTGGTTCCTTTCGTGCTTGGATCGAACGCCTCCGCTAGCCTCGAACGAGCTGCTTTGAGATTCACTGTAGCTAGTGCCGTTGCTGCAGGTTGAAATGTTAATGTTGCTACCGCTGCTGTTGCTGTTGCTGCTGCTGATTGGTTCGCAAGCAACGCCTTTATTTGTTGAAGCGTCATGCGAGTTTGGTCATGGTCGGCACGGAGCGTGGCGAGTTCATGCAGAAAGTTATCGCCTTGCCCCTCCATGCCCGACATGCTTGTTTAGAAACCGGTTCAGAGGGACTTCACGCGGAACTGGTTTACGTACCCGAATCAGCGCTTTTTGTCGTCGCCCCCGCGGTTTTTTTCATGCTGGGTTTTAGCGGCTGGCCACCTTTGCGTGTAAACTTGCTCCGATTACCAAGGGTAAGGATCGAAGGATCGAGTCCATGTTTTTACTAATGAATCCTTAGTACAACAAAGTGGCTATTTATAGGCATGACACAAGGCAGATAACAAGGTGATACTAGAAGGTACCAGGCTTCGGGAACCGTCGGGAACAGATCCTTCCCGAACTCGGTAGAAGTTATTCGGTGAAATCACGCGGAGCATATAATCACGGGGAAATAACCAAAATGCCACAGGATTCGGTGCACGAAACCTAATTCGGTGCTATAACTATAATAGATATAGTTTAGAAACGATTCTAAGAATACGAGCAAAAGCAAGCATAAGAGAATGTTAATATTCAAGATTCTGGTGTGGCTGGCGCTGCAGGGGTGCTCGTTGGTGTTGCTGGCGCGTTGACAGGTTGGCTCGGCTGGCGGGCTGGCGCACGAGCACGCCTGGCGCTGCTGGCGGGCGCGACAAAACTTAGTCATATACTGTTTAGGCTGTACTGGGGCAGCTTATATAGGGTATAATCCAAAGGTTTTGTTCTTGTACTTCTCACTGCTGTTAGTAAACTCATTCTGCTGTCCTCAATTCTTAACATGGTATTAGTCGCTAGGTTAGGTCTGTACCTACCATTGTTACCTCTGCCCCGTGCGCCGTGCCTGCCCGCGCGCGTTTCTTTGCCCGTGCGCTGCCCCGTGCGCTGCGCCTACCTGCGTGCACTGCCCTTGGCGTACGCTTCCCTGTGCACTGCGCCTGCCCGCGCGCGCTGCTCTGCTAGTGTGCTGTCCTATGCTCCACGCCTGCCCGCGCGTGCTGTCCTGCAGTTGCTGCCTTGCGCGCAGCTGCCCGTGCACCGCGCGTGCCTGCAAGCGGTGACCTACAGCCGCTGCAACGCGCGTCGCGCTGCTCTGTCCCACACGTCGCGCTGCCCTGCTGCCATCACGGCCGCTACAATTGCCGCTGCACCTGCCTCTGCAGTCGCTACAGTCACCCACTGCTGCTACAGCTGTCACTGCCACCCCTTGCGCCACTTATGTTGGTGCCGCTGCCCGTCATGCCCACTATCCTGGTCTTAGCGGTTGACACAGACGGACGCCCCTTGAAGTTAGGGTTGTGGCTTACGTGCCTCCGCCTGTATCTCTGACGCTTCATCATAGCTAGTGTCTCCCAGCTCGAGCACACGTCCAGGTTCCTTCAGGCCCCCACGATACCCACGGAGCCTGCTGCTGACGCTGGCGAGGACGTGCAGTTGCGGTGTCGTGCGGATAGCCTTGCCAACACGCTGTGGACGGAGCGAGACGCTGTCACACAGCTTGCCGTCCGAGCTCACCTGCCGATCAACCAGAGGACCCACTTTCGTCAAGTGACGATGGCTCATAATTTGTTCGACGATGTGGTTAGACACTACTCCTCCCTCTCTCCTGCTACCCAGCCACTACGGCATCACCATCCGTTGTTAGGGGAGGTGCAGCAGCTCGTCGAGGAGGCGAGTGTCGGCACCTGTGCGTCCGCTCCTACAAGTGGTGCTGCTGGTGGAGGCGAAGGTTCTGGGGGTGGACAACAGTGGCAGCAACCTCAGCCGGAGGCCATCTTGCCGCGGCAGCTTCGGAAGTGGGTTTCCCAGCGACGCAACCCTGGTGGCTTAGGGGCTTCTAGTGTAGGTGCATGTGTGTTTGTTAATACAGATGCAGCCCTTGCGGAGCCTTTGCACACCTTCACGCTTGACTCGGGCGCTTCTCGCTTCTTCTTCCATGACTACAGCACAGTCACACCGCTCACGACTCCTGTCCCGTTCACTCTGGCTGACCCCTCTAGGGACCCAGTCGTAGCACCTGCCTCCACCGTTCTCCCATGTCTGGCAGCCCCTTCCGGCTCGCTTGCTGGTCTCCACCTCCCCTCGTTCACTACAAGCTTGGTGAGTAACGCTGTCCTCCAGGACCAGTTGGTCACCACCACTATTTCTGGGGGTGAGCTTGTGGCGATTTGTACGAACTCACGAGTTGGCGCCCACATTGCCACGTTCACTTGGAGACCCGGTCGCTTGGGTGCTCGGTCGCTTGGGTGCTCGGCCACCGTGCCTTCCCTACGTTGAGGGGCAACAGCACGCCACACCTCACTCCTCCTCGTTTCCTCCGACCACTGCTTTTCTGCAAACTCTCCACATGGACGTGTGGGGACCCGCCCGCGTCAGTGGACTGGACTGAGAGCGCTATTTTTTGTTGGTTGTTGACGACTACACGTGCTACACCACGGTCTTCCCCTTGAAGAGCAAGGCAGATATCCGTAGTGTCTTGATCCTTTGGATACGCGCTGTCCGTCGCCAGCTGCGCGCCCGGTTTCAGCAGAACCTCCAAGTCCTGCGACTGCACTCTGACCGAGGTGGTGTATTTTCCTCCCGCCTCCTTAAAGATTTCTGTCGTGAGGAGGGCATCGTCTAATCATTCACTCTTTCAGCCTCTGTACAGCAGAATGGGATTGCTGACCACCGCATTGGCTTGGCCATGGAGGTTGCTCACACCTCCATGATCCATGCGGCTGCGTCCCATTTTTTCTGGTCGTTTGCGGTCCGATACGACGTGCATCAGCTCAACCTCTGGCCCCGTGTCTCCGTTCCAGAGACCACGCCTACACTGCGTTGGACGAGGGAGGTTGGCAATGCGTCGGCGTTTTGGGTCTGGGGTTCGCATGCCCTTGTCCGCGATACCACCGCGGACAAGCTCTCGTGTCACACCGTTCGCTATGTCTTCCATGGCTTTCCCACCAACGCAGCTGGCTGGCAGTTTTACCACCCGCCACGTGTCGCGTCCTGTCCTCTCAGGACGTCACCTTTGACGAATTGGTATGCTAATACCGTCTCTTCTCCCACAGCACTTCCCCGGTCACCCCCCCTCGCCTCTCTTCTTGGTTCCAGGTCCCCTCCCGGTAGACCCCCTCCCCCCACAGTGTCTTGCTCCCTCAGGTGTGTCTCAAGTAGACCCATCCCCCTTGGTAGAGCCTTTGGAGGTCTCCTCTAACACCTCTGGCCCAGCTAAGGGGGGGGTGACCCCGCTGCTGACGATACAGCGGCCACTCGCTGCTCACAGCGCTTGGAGACCCTTCTTGGTTTTCTGCCTCGACCGTCTTCGCCGCCTCAGCAGCCCGTTGCTGTGGACTCCGGTGCTCTTGGGGGTGCTGACTCTGGAGGTGCTGGTTCTAGGGGTGCTAAGTCTGGGGGTGCTGGTTCTAAGGCTACTGAGCGTCCTGGTGGTGGTGGAGTTGTGGGTGCTCCTGCTGGAGGTTCTAGGGGTGGACAGCAGTAGCAGTCTCGTTGGCAGGAGACTTTCTTGCCGCAGCAGCTTTGCGAGTGGGTTACGTGTGCTAAAGTTATATTTAATATATCATGCTTGCTGTAGTTACTGTACTTATTTTACTTTTTTTTCTTTGCTATTGGTGTTGCACCTTCGGTTTGGACCATAACTTGTGATGTTTTCTATTATTGAAACACCTTTTTGTCAGAATCCCAACCACTAGACCATTGGGATAAAAGGGCTTGTTAAGTAGCGGGTGAGTGCGCCCATAACCCCCCAGGACAACGAGCCTGTAACCCTTCCCTAGGATCAATCGAGGATCACCAGTGGACCTCTGACACCCCCCCGCACTGGGATGCCCGAAGTGCACACACTGGGATTCGAACCCGAGACCTTCGCTCTGATACCATGTCAGAATCCCAACCACTAGACCATTGGGATAAAAGGGCTTATTAAGTAGCGGGTGAGTGCGCCCATAACCCCCCAGGACAACGAGCCTATAACCCTTCCCTAGGATCAATCGAGGATCACCAGTGGACCTCTGACACTTTTCTCCAACTCTCTTTGGCTCGACCACCTCGACACCCGCGCTTGGCCTAGGCTACTAGGCCTAGGCCCTAATCCTGCCTGCTAAGTTAAGATACTATTTGTGACATGGTATTGAGCTAGGTCGTTTTTTACCATTTTTTCTTCTCAATGGGCCCACTCTTAGCTACCGCCGTTACTCGCGCTGCCCGTCGCGCGCTTGTCAATACGACCGTCGCGAGAGTCGCAATGGTTGAGACGGCTGCATCGGTCACAATGGCCAGCATCAACGCTCGCGGTCCCGGGGTGCCCCGTCCCCATTCGTACCTACCCCATCGCAAGTCGCGCTCCTATGCATCACCCGCCGAAGGACCCACCAGCCTGCGAGCCAACGGATCCGCCGTCGAACCAGCCGCCATCCGCCAACGACCAGCACCAGCAGCGACATCTGCGCCGACCAGCACCAACCGCGACAGTGATGCAAACCAGCGCCAACCGCGACAGATGCGCCAGCAGCACCTGCAGTCCTTGCCACCGTCCCTGTCGCATCACATCGCCTCCCCTTTTCCCATCGTGGCCCCTTCTCGTCACCCGCTGTTGCGGCTGTTGTCGTGTGTAGCGACAGCCGCTGTGGGGGAGGAGCGGGACGGGGGAAGGGTGTGGCGGGAACGCCAGCAGTGACAACGCCAGCGACACCCGCGACCGCCAGTAACAGCACCAGAAGCACTCCGCCGCACCTCCTCTTCCCCGCCGCCCCACCTGCTATCTGCCGCCCCAACCTCCCCCGTTGCCTTCCCCTCTGCGACTACGACTGTGGGGGGGGGAGGTGGTGTGGAAATGGTGGCCGCCGTGAGCCAATGCAGCACCACCCTCTGCCCTGTCTCTCCCCTCCCGCGGCTGCTGCTGTGGGGGGGGGGGGAGTGGCGGGGACCAGGGAGGTGGGGAGACTAGCTGCCCGTGTTCAGGACATTGCAGGGACTACTGTGGGTGGGGCAGGGGTGTGGAGGAAAGAAGGGGGGAGGGGGTGCGGTTCCAGGGGGCGGCTAAAATAGGGGGTGAGGTTAAGCGGGGTGGTTGAATGGGTGTAAGGATCTGGGGGCTAGTAAGAGGGGTTTTGACGTGCTTGGCTGCCCCCCACCTCCTCTACTCATCACTCTCTCACCTCCCCCTTTGTAAAAGGGGGTTAGTAAGAGGGTTTCGCCAAGGGTGGCTCCCCCTTACCTCCTCTCCTCATGCCTCTCTCTCACCTCCTCCTTCGTTCTTATCTCCTCTCCTCACCTCTTTCTCTCTTGCCTCCTCCTCGTCACCTATCTCTCTGCCGTCTTCCACGCGCTAGGTTTACCCCTTCAAGAGGTGTTGACTGCACTAGTCCCCACTACAAGTACGCTAAAGGGGTGTGTTAAAGTTATAATTAATATATCGTGCTTGCTGTAGTTACTGTAGTTATTGTTCTTTGCTATTGGTGGTGCACCTTTGGTTTGGACTATAACTTGTGATGTTTTCTATTATTGTAACACCTTTTCTCCAACTCTCTTTGGCTCGACCACCTCGGCACCCGCGCTTGGCCTAGGTTACTAAGCCTAGGCCCTAAACCTGCCTGCTAAGCTAATATTCTATTTGTGACAATTCGGTGTGGCCGCTCTGGTGCTGGTGCTGGAGGTGCTGGTGCTTGGGGTACTAGAGCTGCTGGTGCTAGAGGTGCTGGAGCTGGTGGTGCTGGGGGTACTGGATGTGCTAGTGCTGAAGGTACTGGTACTAGAGGGCTGGAGCTGGCGGTGCTAGAGGTACTGGCTATGCTTGTACTTGAGGTGCTGGTGCTGGAGGTACTGGAGCTGCTGGTGCTGGAGGGGCTGGTGCTGGAGGTGCTGATGCTGAAGGCCATGGAGCTAGAGGTGCCGAAGGTTCTGGTACTGTGGGTACTGCACAACACCGACCGTTCCTCTTGCCTCGTCCGCAGTCGTCGCTGCCACCACCTGACTCGGCACTTCGTCAGGTTCTTAGTCTTCCATCTTCCACTGGTCTTACTCCTCCTCTAATGTGTCCACCGTCCGAGGCACGGTTATCGCCTGACTCCCCACTACCTGCTCCTTCTCCTTACACTGAGACGTCTGACTCCCTGATTGAGCGTCAAGAGCCTGCGTCCCGTCCTACCAACGAATTGGTTTTTTCTATAGCTGACACTGAGACATTGGCCCTTGTGAAGACGGAGCTGCAAAATAGACAGACCTGCGCTGACCTGGGTGAGCTGTGCAGCTAACTTGGATTGCAGGCCACTAGAGACATAGTAGCGTGCACCATCACTTAGACTCAGTCACACATGGTGGAGTAGGTCCTTCAGCGCTTCTGCTTTCAGTTCTTCTCGCCACAGTCCACTCCTTTGTGTACGAGTCACTCGCTCTTAGCTCGACCTTTGGACGAGTCCGTAGAGCCGGATGGTCTGTATTTAGAGCTTATAGGCTGCCTCATGTACCTGATGACGTGCACTCGACTTGACCTCGCGTACCCTCTCAACATCTCGGCACGCTACGTTGCGCTCGGGAGACATAGGCCTCAGTACTACCGGGCTGCTACAACGATACTGCGTTACTTGTGCAGTACATCAGGCATGGAGCTCGTACTTGGAGGGCAGGACTTAGTTGTGCACACAGGGCACTCAGGCACTTGGCTGACGACCAGGCAACACAGCGGTCATCACAAGGTTAAACTTTCAATCTCGGCTCTGGTTCTGTCTCGTGGAGGTCCACTCGTTTGCCTTCTATGCTTGGTTCCAGCTGTGAGGCCGAGATCTACGCTGGGGCTATGGCTGTAGAGGAATTACTCTGGCTGACCTACTTGCTGACTGACTTGGGTGAGCGGCCTCGTTCTCCTCCGGTTCTGTACGTCGACAATAAGGCCATGATTGCCTTGTATCGAGAGCAGAGAATGGAGCACAGAACGAAGCACATAGCTCTTCACTACTTTCTTGCTCGAGAGTTGCAGGAGCGTGGTCAGCTTCGCCTTGCTTACGTGGCCTCTCGGGCCAACACTGCTAATATCTTCACCAAGGCCCTTGGTTCTGGTGATCATCAGCGCTTCTGCACTGCTCTTGGGCTTGTGCACATTCTGCCTCACTTGCTTGTCTTTTGATCTTGCCTTGCACTTGTTGTACACTGCTATATATGTTGGTGCAACCCTACGGTTTGCACTCGGCTTGTTGTCCGTGTGCGTGCATGCGCGTGTGCATGGAATGGTATGAGGGCATGGATATATATTTTATGCTTATAATAGTGTGCGAATGTTGAGTCATGATGTCGAGTGTGTGTGTCGAGTCAATAGCAAGTTATCGCTAGTCATGTGTCACACGGTCGTTTGTGTCCCGTGCGCGATTTCTATTTTGTCGTGTGTCTCGTGCACGGTTTCTAATTGTCGTGTGTGTTGAACGTTCGGCGTGTCGCAGGTGTGTGCAGCAGACCCAAGAAGAACTCGAGGATGAGTTTGTGATGAAGAACCTGAGCCCTGGTTTCAAGCCTCAAGTGATCGCGAAGCCCGCGAAAAAGGGTACACCTCCAGATATTGAAGATAGTTACATTACTTTGTGTAGTGTAATATTTCACTTGGTGTATGCCCTAGTGAAGGGTAGTTTCGAGACCCTTCGTGGTTGGGGACAGTGTGGCACTTTTCCATATCACTGTACCTCGGCTCTTGGGGTTTGTAGGAGCTGGGAGTCATTCCCAACTCGTAACTCTTCCTATTGTGTGTTCTAAGACTATAGTGGCTGCCATAGTGCCGTTCGTTCAAACCGACGCTGTGTCGTCAATACTTGGTGAAATCGTGCGATCTAATTGGCCTATTGTAAACGACTTTAAGACGCTCCAGATCCAAGTTGAATCAGGTCATTTAAAGCTGTGACCAGAACGCTATGGACGTTTAAAGCCGCTGTGCAGAAATCCAATTGTGCTCTCTATCTTTCGTTTTAGGCACATTGGAGCCTATTGTGACTATAACAAGTGGTATCAGAGCACCTTGGAGCAGCTACGACAATGGCTGGACCTGAAGTAAGGGGGGTCAGAGGTGCTGGAGGCAGTGGAGGACCCCAAGCACAAGGTCAACCCCGTGATTCAGCCATGGCGGCCGCGCAACCTACTCTTGGACCTTCAAGGGATGCTTCTTCGAGTTGTTGACGTGGCTTGAAGGAGTAGATTTGAACTACAGTGAGCTCCAGAAGAAGACCAAGTTGTTGGCCCTACTCCCGGAATCGTGGTCCTTGCTCACAATCAACTTGAACCGTGATCTGCCCCGTCTCTTGCTTGAAGACGTGAAGCGAGCGATCCTCCAAGAGGACTTCCGCCGCCGTGAGTTGGCGAGTGCGGATGGCGCTGGGGCAGCGAGCGTCGGCCGTGGATATTGCCAAGGAAGAGGCAGAGGACGAGGGGGAGGAAGGTTTGGTGGCAGCAACTTCAGTGGAGGCCGCGGGAATGGCGGTTACGGCAGCGACGACAAGAGCTACGGACGCGGTCGCGGCCGATTCGACGGCGAGTGTCACTATTGCCACAAGAGCGGACATATGTGGCGAGATTGCTACAAACTCCCAGATGGATGGACCCCTGATCAAGGCCAGGAGGGTAGAGGAGCAGGAGGAGGGAGAGGAAGAGGCCGTGGAGGCCGTGGCGGTCGCGGAGGCGGTGCTGCAAACAAGGATCCGAGCGGAGATGAAAGGCATGGGCAAGGCCATATTCAAGGGTGCTGATGTGGCAGATCCCTATGGTCCCAAAGCCTAAGGAGAGGCAACTGGCAGCAAGCGTCAGCACCAAGGGTGAAGCGGTTGGTAGCGGCGATGGCGGGAACGGTCGCGTTAAGGAGAATGAGTCCAACAAGTGCAATCTTGGAGGGACCAGCAAGCAGTGTTAACCTAAGGAGAGTGGTGCAGCAGCCAAGGAGCAGCAAAAGGGTGAGGAGAACCCCGAGGTAGCAGCGGAGGAGGAGTACGGAGAGAGCATGTGGGGCGCTATTGCGAGCGCGGCATTCTCCAACCCGACTTCGGCTACGGGGGAGTGTGATTGGCTCACCTTGCATCGGCAAATGGGGCATGTGGCCTTGCCTATCTTGCAGCAGCTAGTGAAGAATTAGAGGTTGCTGGCATACGTGTGAAGGGGGAGCCTGATGAGGTGCTTGGCTGCCCGACGTGCATTCAAGCCAAGTTCACCCGGTTTCCGTTACCTAGTTCGGAAGCAACGGCTAAGGCACCACTTGATGAGGTGGTGATGGTCGTGGTGGGCCCCTTGAAGCTTGGAGCTGAATATTTTCTCACCATTGTGGATGTCTACACCCGCATGACCTGGGTGTACGTGCTGTCTAAGAAGAGCGACGTGGCTGAAACGGTGAAGACCGATTGGTTGCCGATGGTGGAGCGGCAACAAGACCGGCTAGTCAAGTCAATCCGCACCGATCGAGAGGGAGAGTTCCTTAGCAAGGAGTTCGGACTGTGGCTGAAGAAGAATGGGATTAGGCACTCCCTTACCATGCCATACTCCCCTGCAATGAACGGCATCGCCGAGCGAGCGAATCGCACAATCACGGAGACGGTACGCGGGTTGCTCATTGAAGCTGGGCTACCCGACTATTTCTGGCCTGATGCGGTGCGGAGTGCGCGTGTGGCCAAGAACAGAGCCTTGACTCATGTGGGAGCAGACAAATGGGTGCCCTATGTGGAGTGGATTGGAAGGAAGCCAAAGGTGGATATGCTTCGGGTGTTCGGGTGCATGTGCATGGCGCTCGTGCCTAAGCATCTTCGGCACAAGGTTGGTGCCAAGGCGATATGGGCCGTGCACTTGGGCATGGCTCAAAACAGCAAGGGGTGGCTTCTTTGGGACCCATTCACCAAGAAGTTCTTGGTGAGCAGGGACTGCAAGTTCATGGAGAACCTGATGTACAAGGATTGGAAGGCGGAGAATGAGGCGAAGATAGGCGTGCGGTTTGGAGAGGTGAAGAGTTCCGGCTTGGAGCATGTGGAGCTGCCTTTGGAGCTGAGCAGCGGCAGCACAACCACAAGGCAATCCTCCCTTGTGAATGGGGG